GAAGCTAATAAATTTACATTTGTGTTGGTTTTTTGATCTAATTGTACTAAAATAAGCTTCAAATACGAAAATGCGTCAATACTATTGACCAATAATAGAGTAATAATGAGTCGTGTATCTTTTGTATTATAAGCTCCAGGCTAAGGGCGATAACAACATAAATAGCACAAACGTAATATTATACAGACGTAAGATTTTTCTTACGTAAACCCTAACGTTTTAGACTGATTCTTCAATTAAAGAAGGAAACAATGACGTATGCTATTACATCAATATATTTTTACATGCCAATGTTAGACTATAATTAACCGCCTCCGTGGTCAAGGAGTTAAGAGTCGATGACTTCTAATCCAAATACCTCTCTGGCGTGGGTTCGATCCCCGGGAGATGCTTTGGTACTTTAGCACGAAGGAAGGTGGGCTAGTACTGGTGTAACTCTCCAGGAATGATGGTTAGGGAACTACCCGCCTATATGACTAAAATACTGTTGGGAAAAGGCGTAAAATGAAAATGAAACAAACAAACAATAGACTATAATTAAAGGCTTCGGCAGTGTTCATTTTACAAAAAAATAACAAACAAGGAAAGCAACACATTTCCAAGACGTAAAATACTTGTATATTCATCAAGTAGTTATAGTTTTTCTGATAACAAAATGTAAAACTTTATTTGTGGTCATATGTTATATTCGAAACAAAGCAAATTATTTGCATGACACTATTCCTACTTTGACAAGGCATAACATTAATTTCATAACAAATAATCCTATCTTAAGGTAGAACAACCCTAATGGGCACTATAAGGAACTGTGAAATTGACAACATAGGATAATTATATGCCTTAAATCTCACCTGTATGCAAAATTTAGTCCTGCTTTGACATGAAATTTAATTTGATAAATTAATCTTTCCTTGACATGAAACTAATTTCTTTTCAAGACATTGTCCTACTTTTGATATAAAGTTAGTTATTTTCAAGGCATAGTTCTACTTTGTAATTATTAAGCTCTTTTCATGGCATAGCCCTGCTTTGACATTAAATTAGCCTATTTTCACTCAATACGTTTCACAATACTTTCAGAGACATAAAATAATATGAAACTTTCTATTATTGAAATGTGCAGTTCTTATCAGGTTCTCTTACTATGAATACTCCTTCTTATAAATAAGCAATAAATGATAATTATTTACATAACATTAATTTCCCTACCCGAGACATGATTCAAAATCGTCAGACGGTGGCAGAGGATATGTTACGCCCAAACAAGATGGAATTGCATTCGATTGCACCCGATAGTTTCCGTGGCCGAGTGGTTAAGGTTGTTGACTTCAAAATTCAAATCACTTGCTTCTCACCGTTGTTGGTTGGAATGCCGATGTTGACTTTGGATTCTTTTTCCTGAGGAAGCTATCCACCTAGTTTATGGAACATCGGTGGTTCTACTCAGGTGCCGGATAGAGATTTATAAAAAGAATATTACTCACATCATAGTAATGTCTAACACTCACGTGACGAAGGCAACTGACTGTCTTCTTTATTGGATATGCCCCTTGTTAGTATTATTTTCTTGACCGGAAGGTGCTGAGTTTTTGCAATGACCAAATGCAACATATGCGGACCAATGGGTTGGTCACAAATGTCCCCGGAAACGTTTTTTCTCCAAAGTCGCCAAGTGTCTTCACGAAATGAACAAATCATTACACTAGTTTACAGTTATGCCACCCGGGCATCTGCCGGTCATTTTTCTTGAGCAAGCGCTATGAGCTTTATAGTAGTGCACAGAAGACTCCGAGCTATTACATATAATCATCGCACACCGGCTGATACCTATGACACCCGAACATCTCTATGTACATAGGGCAATATGCAACGAAATCAGGTCATTGGGTACGTCAAAGCTTTCTCCAAAGAATTGTGCTTTACTAACATTCGTGGAGTATACAAAAAGAATATACAAATTATCCCACCGTCAAACACCCATGAGCTGCGGCTATCTGTTGGATATTCTTCGGGCATCTGTCGCACATACTTACTTCGGAGAGCGCCGTAGGATTGTCGTGAATAGGAAACTCCGATCTATTGTTTTGTCTAAAGTACAACGAAATCAAAACAGACCTACTTGTTTTCTGTTACAGTAGTGATTTAAATATAATTTAGTGTTATGAAAAATGAATGTTAATACGTTAGTATGTGATTCATTGATTATACAGCAATAGACTTATAGTTCTACATAATATTCACATTCTTTTAAGTTTCAGACCCGTGGTTTATTTGATGTTTAAGCACAGTGTAAGTCATACATGTTTTTTATTTAATTTTAGTATTTTAAACCAATATTTGAGTGGTATGATTTAGCAAAGCAATTATGTAAGGTAAGCTGACTTGTTGACATATTATAATTTCCTGCAGTAGTTAAGCGTACAGTTTCTGTGTCCTTGAAATCATAATACCCGAAAGTTTAGCAGCCTTAATCAAGAATTAAATGAAGTTGATCTTATCTGTAATAGGTCACACTACGAAAAGCCTAATAGCATCAGTTTAAGTAAAATGAAAAACTTTTAAAGGCGTACTAACGCAAAATAGGGGTCTGTTGTGCTAAACAATGCACTAAAAGGCGAAACAATAAAATATTTGCATCGGCCGGGAATCGAACCCGGGCCGCCCGCGTGGCAGGCGAGCATTCTACCACTGAACCACCGATGCTCACATTCTTTGCCTTTAACAAGTAATATAAGTAAATATATGTTGTTAATAATTGTCGACACTATGTCACTCAGCGTACATTCTGCCCTGGGCGACATCAATCACTTTTCTTTTTTTTTAAAGATCACCGTTATAAAGTCGAACACGATAACGTTTACATTATTTGGTCAGGCCATTATGTGCAAGTTATTTAATTATTACATTTTGCATTTATATTGCAATATAGAAGAATAATAGTGTGCATCAATATATAATCCCGAGTAGCGTAGTGGCATGAGGGTTCTGGATATGAAGTGCTCGAGTTCTTAACATTGTTTTTCAAGTTCAAATCTGCAATTGTGTGCATTTTCAGTGTGGTTTTTTTTATTATAACTTTAATAATATATTTTTATAGTTTGTCACGTAACTTTTGATTTCATCTTTTATGAATCTGTAATCAAATTTATGTTTTGCTCATTTGAAATAAAAACGGTTAAGCGAATTTGAATGCATTTGCATTTGCTTTTTGACAGTCATTTGACACATTGACTAGTATTATTATTTTATTATCCCCCGCCGAAAAATTTCGGCGGAGGATATAGAAATAGTCTCCGTCCGTCCGACCTTCCGTCCGTCCTTCCGTCCGTCCGTCATTCTTGTTGGAAAATAAAAATACGACACTTTTCATACTTCCGTTTTGTTTTCATTTATGTGTATCCAAAAAAATGACAAACACTTTTTTTTAAACAACAAAACCTTCACAATTTGAAACAATATCACATGCGGAATAAATTAATCTAATAATATTGGTTGAATTTAATCAAATTAAAGAATTTGAATAGATTGGTATTATTAAATTATTATTATTATACATGAAATCATAAGTTTTGTATGATTCGCTCTTCCGCGTTAAATTGTGATATTATATACAAAAATAACTGAAAAGTCAAACATACGATGCGAATCTATTTATTTAACGGTAGCTCAAATGACTGTATCAGTTTGTCATTTTATGCATTTTTCTTGACCAAAGTGAAGTGTACTAAAGCGCCAATCTAATCATAATAATAATTAAAAAAAAAACAAGAGCACTGCAAAGGCGGTACTATATACGCAAGCCCGAATATAAATTTGTTTGAGTAACCAAAATTAATTTTTCAATTAGGGAAGAGATCAAATCAAGAACTTGTCTAAAAATATTTTATATGTTATTTTAATTATCCCTTTAATTCTAATTTTAATTTTTTACCTTAGATTCATGATTTATAAAAGTTTACACGCGTCTAATAAGTGCAAAATATAGAGGCATATTATTTATACACAAACAGATAAGACTTCTTTTCATATACCTTAGTCTACATAAAGAAAGTGACTCCCGGGTTAGGGCCAATTTTGATCTGATGGCCATGATTTATATCACTTTTGTAGAATTCTATAGATTGATGCTACGTGTCAAATATTTTAGCTCTATGCTTAAACGTTTCACACATTAAGTCTTAAATATGTTTTCCTACATAAGTCTATATAAATCAAGTGACCCCTAACATGTGTTCTTATTATAAGGAATATGTCTGCCATAAAATTTTAATTTCTTTCTATCGGTTCAAAAGATACAGAGTGGGCACGAAAGTTTGTAATTCATACAAAATAATACGCGTGACCTTGACCCGAGGAAGGTCAAGCCTGCGCTCTGCACATCGTCTCATTATGGTTAACATTTCTGCAAAGTAGTGTTTATTTCCTTCCACCGGTTCAAAAGATACAGAACAGGCATGGGAACTGTTAAAAGACGGACGTGCAGGTGCAGAGCAATATTCGCCGATTTCTTTCGGGCATATAAAAAGCTATTTGAGCATTTAAGCATGCTATTAAAAAATAATATCGAAGACGAAAACATTTTTGCATATAGCAATTTTAAGTTTATCTCATGAAATATCATTATAAAAGTTATCAACGGTTAAATTATACTGTTTCCATAATTATATTGTCGATTCTTGAAAGAGTTATAATGAAGAATGATTATGTTGCTTAATACACTGCTGAATATTGTACGTTAACGAAAGAAATGTTACGGAAGTAAATTATTACAGTACTAATTCAAGTTGGTTTTCACGCAATTCGTACTAAAGAACTTTACAAACATATTTTGGAATTATATGTTCTATTTTTATAGCAGATATATACACATGTACAGTTTAAGCAGATAGATACCTTTAAGGCATGGAATTGTCATTATATTCATGACTGAGCATTGGACACAGTAATTTAGTACATACTAACATACAATCATTGCAAGTATAACTGTTCAGCTTTTTCTAAAAAAAAAGAAAAAAGCAAAACACTCTTCATATTTTTACAACACTCAGACAAAAATACCGGATAAATAAGTCATCTTATGATTCACTAACAACACATTTACAAAGCAAATACTATTTTGTTCAGTTTCATTCAAAACAGTTGCTTGTAGACTAATTTTCAATCGATTTTAAATATTTCATTGAACAGCTGCGCCGTTTATCTGTTTTTCTTTCTTGTTACCTTTTTGCGTTCCCTAAATCAAGTAAGAACCTTTTATTTCTTTTTGCATTTGCAATTTTTCAATGATAATTCACAGTACACCTTGTTGTCTTAGAAAATTCCAGAAAATTATTGAGTACAAAATATCCTTCTAAAAGAGCCTGATATACTTGTAAATTTGAATGTCTTTGCACAAATAAACTTTTAAACGATGTCTAATTCTTGTATAAGCGCTTTTGAACTTTTGAAAATTAGTCTTTGAGAAAATGTCTGTTTTTACCGCATGTAAATACTATTTAGTTATGCATGTGTTCATATGACAAACGAGTGGAATATTTTAATTTTCGGCTGCAGCTTTGTTTCTTTCCGGAATGCTCATGTTTTCATATGTACTTGCTGTAGCATCATCTCCTGAAAAAATATAATGTACAAATATGATACTGTAGCAATCGCATCAAAAAACAAACAAATCGTTTATAAATAAAAAATAAAAAGATGTATATTTAAAATATACAATTTTCAAATAACTGAGGATGGAAACTTCGATTTATTGCATTAGAACGATCATAATGTTTCTAGAAAAAACTTCTAAGATTTATTTTAAGGAAGTTGTTACAGCTAAATGTTTGTAGATATTCTGTGTCGTTTTTTTGAGACAAATGTAGAATAAACATTACTATAAATGAGTACATATACCTATGATAGACAAATTAACTTCGCCGTAAACATTGTTTCTTGTTCCATGTTTCAAGTCCTCATACATTCTATTTTCAGATCCATGCCTGAAAATTAAATTTCTCAAAGAACTGTTTCATTTATCGACATGAATGTTTATGTTAGCCATTTCAATATATAGTTTTTGTTGGAAGTAGGTTTAACAATCTACTTATTATAAAAAAAAAACGTGCGTCGCAACTCCTACATAAACATTTTAAAACGCTAATATTTCTTGCTTCAATTTATCAGAATAAAATATTCCCTAACAATTATACTAGTCTTATTCCAAGCGTTGTTTAGTAAACAATTTGCACATGCTTTAATTGCTTTCAACAAAGATTTTTACAGAAATATTTCCATTTATGAAATTTGGTATAGATGTTTATATATTACAAACATTTAGATCTATTCATTTAACAGCAAAACATTTCTGTGCCCTATGTGACATATTCTTTCATGGAAGTGGTCTTATGTCATACTACCAATTCAGATACTTCTTTGATATTTACAAACAAATGTAATACATATTTACAAAATATCTTACACGCTCGATTGAGAAAAGGTGACTGTTGTGTCTGTTTTATTCTTGGAAACGAACTCTGAAACTAATAAACATTGTTACAGTAAAGAAAACTGCTAATTTATTTTCATATAAAAGTTATACCAGATTATTTAAGTTTAAGCAGAGGTGTTAAAATTTGAAATATTTCAAGGCCATATATAATTAAAGAAACAAGTAGAAATCACAAATAATTTGAAGGTGTAATAGCTAATTACGTTGATATTACATTTTGTATTCCGTATCAGGCATTACAACCACGAAGGAATAGTGTATGGAAAGTGCACAACACATGATCCCATATTATGTTTTCATACATGTATAGCAGATAATAAAATGTGCTAGAACAAATTATCATTATCCATCATAAAAATGTTCATACTAAACCACTTAAAACTTTATCAGCATTGCTTTTTTCTTTCAAGGAATAGTTTAGAATATCCTAATGATACATTTTTATCGTATCAGTATTTTAAAATACCTATATGTAGTAATATCAGCTCATTAGCTAGTTTATTGATATATGCGTTTTGCTCATGCATGCTCACATGTCTAGCAAGTCTTGATGTTAGGGACTTTAGGAGAATAAATTTATTTCTTGTAGAGTATATACGTGCTTGTGTTATACCACTATTTTGTGAAGTCTACTTGATTATTATAACTCCCAACAACAAAATATTGTGACAGAAGAAATTTAAAATGGATTTAAAAAGATAACATCTGATTGTTATCTGAACATTATAAGTAAACATAAGAAATGAACATTGTCTTACTGTCTGTAATATCAGTTGATATTACTACATCTCCCTTCTTTTAAAAAGAAAAGAAAATTTTGCATCATCATATAAATATTAGTAAATAATGTATGAGTTATTTTGATTTTGCTCCAGAACATTAAGGAAATTGTGTCTATTGTAGACCAATTCATTTAAATTGGTTTGTCAATGTGAAATTTATAAATGAAATCTTACATAAAGTAACACTTGCCATTGGTCATTACTGCTTTTAAAACAAAAAAGAATGAAGTAAGGATATTTTAAAAAGAATATAGTCCCAATTTTTAAGATCAATCTAACATATGATATTTAACAGTATAACCGATATCGTAAAAATGATTTGCTTTTAAGCTTCTTTATACGAGGGGTGATCCAAAAATTCGTGGACACGCTGCATAAAACAAAAAGAAATAAAGCAAATCATATGAAATTCTAGTATCTTATTAAGTAAGCATATGTCGACAAATTCTCAAAATATTGTAAAGATTGTACAAGAATTAACGATTTTGCACCAGTTTATATACATAGACATGACAAAACGCGGCGCAACTCACGACGTCACAAACGACGTTATGCTATCATAGGAAGTAATCTATGTTACCGTTTTGCCTAATAACTTTTCAAAGTATTCCCCTTTAACCCGCACACATTTTTCATAGCGGCGGACCGAGTCTCTAAATGTACTCACATACCATTCTTGGCTGAATGATGACAGTATGCATTGGGTGGCTCCTCTCAACTCGTCCAGATTGTCAAAACGTTTCCCTCTCAACTCTTTCTTTAACCTGGGAAACAAGGCGAGGTCACACGGGGAAAGATCAGGCGAATATGGTGAATGACTGAGTACTTCTGCTCAAGAACTAGAGAACGACACACTGAGGGTTTATTGCCACACTTTCGATCATTTTTTTATCTCGCCAGGCGTCTTTCCAAGATTTACACAGAACTGTATAACTGTCTGAAGTTTTGCTGGATCCGTGACGTCCATTTTTGATAAAGCTGTTTTTAGCACCTGTCCTAAAGCACGGGCGTAAATTAACCGCAACTTCAAAATGTCTTCTAATACTGACAGAATGCCGCCATACACATCAAAACAACGTTTTCGCAATTTTCTTTGTTTGCACAGGTTTTACATGTGTTTAAATGAGATAAAAACGTTAACATCACAGAGAAAAAGTAAACTGCGCCGCGATTTTGATACTTAATGTTTTTATGTTGTCATATATAGATAAAAAATGCAATTTGTGTTTTAAAATTTGGTCAATTTATTAAAAAAGCATTGATTAATAATATCCAAAGAGTTCACCTCGGTAGGACGTCACGTTATGGAGATACACACATTGTCTACGAATTTTTGGATCACCCCTCGTATTTGTCCATGTACATATACATGTAATTTGTAACAGTCATATATATATATTATAGATTTACATTAAAAAAAATACTTACGTTGCTTACAACCAAACGGAACTTTCCTTTTGTAAATGAAAAATGTACACAACCCAAGCGCAATGATAGTAAGTGATTGAACTGTCGCTAAACATATAATCGCTATGGTAAAATTTGAGTTGTCTGTATAAAATAAATTAAAAATATATTGAAATATCGTAATTCACACGTTCATTCTATAACAATAAAGCTACACCAACAGTACACAAGTATCTGTGGTAATATTGTTACTTTCCTTGTGCATAGACTAGCGAATATCAGCAAATTGTCTGACCCTAAATAAATATAGAAAAACACATGAACTCATATCACTCTTTTAACGAAGAAATTTAGAAATAATCACAGCTACGTCTCAATTTAATTAAAATCAGCTCCTTGGTTACGCTACGCTACATTGAAGGAATACGTAGATCTGAACTTAAGTCAGATTGAGCGTCGTCTTATACTGTGGTCTATTTATTGATTCATGTGCTAATATCATTACGTATACATGAAGCTCTAAAATATGCATCATTGTTATGCATCAATCAGGAACACGTTTATTTAAATTCATTATTAATTTTCTTTAAAAATCTAGCAAATAATTGTTTATTAAATATGAGGTAGGATTTAGTTATTACCAGAAACGTAAACGCTGACAGTTTGTTCAACACTCCGACCATCCAATCTTCTTGCTGTGCACGTGTATTCCCCTGTATCTTCTGTCGTAACGTCTCCTAGACTAAGAATGTTGTCTTTGCTATGTTCTCCCCAGGATATGATGCATGGTGGATTACATTCAGATGTACATGTTATATCAGGCATAGCGTCTCCACTACCCAAATTATAGTGTGTCTTTCTTGGTGACAACGCGAGGGATTGAAGTGGTCGATCTTTGGATATGAAAATATTAACGTTATAAAATGGCACAATTTCCCGCATCTATTAATTATTGCATTTTAAATTGGTATTATCGATTTATTGAAATATTAAATATAAACGTCTATATAAAGTGAATTGGTCTATTATAGAAAGTCTGTTATACAATTAATAATTACGTTGATAATACTTAATATCAAACATTATTACAAACCACAAAAGATACATATTATATAGATGTAGTTGCCAAGCATGCGATAGATGAACCAATATTACATATTTTTATACCAGATAATAAAGTGTTCAAAGTGTTCTTAAAGACGTTTTCGGTAGTTTTCTGTGCGCATCGTTATGCGTTTCCAAGAAAGATAATCACGGATAATTACTCTTCAAATGAAGGTCGAGTTGAATAGTATTCGGATAAGAGTTTAAATTTCGGCTATAAGCAAATAATGAGTAAATAATACAGAATAGATATTTCTAAATGTTCAAAAGGAGATTGGTTCAAAAGAATAAGAATGTCGTTTAGACAACCTCACATAAAGGATTTCTCCAAGCATTAGTACGAGAGCATTGATGATAATTCTGCATGCGTTACCCCACCCACTTGTGGTATAGTGACAAAAGTGCGTCGCGACTTGATTACTGGCAGACAACTGGGCAAAGAAGTTTAAAATGATATATTTTAAAAGTGTTGAATAAAAAAACAAAATTAATATCCAAGAAATGTTCAGAATTTCATTATTTTCCTTGTAAATTTCTGAATACTTGCTTACTGTTCGGGTATGTTAGTCGAGTGATAAAAAAATAATATATGGCCCTCCCCCCTAGATATGTTTTAAAAAAATATTCAGTACCATTTACTTAATATAACATCAAAAGAGAAAGAAATTCTTATTACAACATGTTTTATATTTGACAATACATTTAGTATAACACTGATATTTCTTAAGAAAGCGTGGTAATTTTTACAGTTGGCATATGCGGTAACCATGGAAACTGCCCGTTTACAAAAAACTAACACGTCAACATATATATTTTATTTCTATTTTTGAATCCACGATCAAATGTTACTTGATATATTAATAATGTAGAAAATTCTATAAAAGAAATTTCTTGATAGCTTTAATTTTTTACAGAATTCATGTTTATTTTTCTCATCTTTTTGTTTAGTTAAAAAGCATTAAAACTCATTTTTTAAAGAAATATGTTCAAATTATCGTTTGCTTTTATACAGAACCCTAAGATAAAGCAAGCTTTGTATAAAATTATGTTTATTGTGAGTGTAATAAGCTATTTTATACATTATTATAACACAGTTTGGCTATTTTGACAATTTTGAGATATACGGTTACCATGGAAACTGCCATTTTAAAAAAAATCCAACACGCCAACATATATTTTTCTTTTTCTTTTTGAATTTGTCATTAAATTTCACACAACATACAAAAAAATTAGAAAATCCTATGAAACACTTTTTTCAATATCTCTAATTATTCTGAGAATTCATGTCCATTTTTCTCATTTTTTGTTCGGTTGAGGAACATGGAAAACTCATTTTTTAAAGAAATATGTGCAGATTATCATTTGTTTCATACAGAATCATTAGATAAGGCTATCTTTGCATAAAACAATGCACGTTGTGTGTTTTAAGCTATCTTATACATTTTCTATTCGTTATAACACAGTTAGGCTATTTTGACAGTTTTTAGATATACGGTTACCATGGAAACTGCCATTTTACAAGAAATCCAACGCGTCGACATATATTTTTCTTTTTATTTTTAAATTCGTCATTAAATTTTACTCATCATACAAAAAATTTAGAAAATTCTATGAAAGGATTATTTTTTCATAAAACTGTAGAAAATGTCTTTAAATTATGGTAGTGAAGTGTGTGGCTTCTCAAAAGGTTGTGCAATTGAAAGAGTTCATATGCAATTTTGCAAGCAACTTCTTGGTGTTAAAAGATCTACACAAAATGATTTTGTTGATGGTGAACTTGGGCGTATAAATTTTCAAACTGAGATATTTAAAGATTGTTAAATATTGGGTTAAGTTATTACAGACAAAAGATAATAAGTTTAACAAAAAAATCTATATCACTTTATTAAATGACTGTGAAAGGTATCCTAACAAGAAAAGTTGGTGTTCATTATCGAGGGATCTTTTATGTTCACTTGGTTTTTATGATGTGTGGCTTTTTCAAGATGTAGGTGATAAGGTAATTTTTTCTCTATTTTGAGCAAAGATTGTCTGATAACTTCATAGAAAACTGGAATAGTAGACTTAGCAACTCAACTAGAGCGATATTTTATAGATACATAGCTAGCTTTTAGGTTTAAGCCCTACCTTAATTTATGCAACATACAAAAATTTCGATTTGGCTTATCAAGATTGCGTATGTCATCTCATAGACAAAGTATTGAAAGCGGCAGATGGGCAAAGCCTACTGCAATTCCTTTAGAGCAGAGAAAATGTAGTATATGTCCAAAACGGAATAAGGAATATGGAAGTAACTTTATGTACATTAATTTGTTTGGTCTTTGCGAAGCATATGAATATACTTATAAGGTCATGAAGCTCTGGTCACTGGTGTTACTAATTTGTGCACTCAACAGCACACTTTGTAAGATGACGTAATGCGAATGGATAGAGTATGTCATAATCACTATTATAAAGTTAGATTACATGTTGATCATGTTTATAACTATATTTTTAGCTATAAGACTTAGAAGGCTACAAGATTATTACAAGATGTTATCATGTAGTAATTTTCAACATGTACGCTGTACAAAATGTTGTCCTCATGGGCTTTTGGCCTTCAGGATATTTCTGAAATAAAACTTTGAAACTTTGAAGCATATAATATTATTGTGTTATGTATCCTTAGGCATTCGCCAGTCTGTTCGTGTCATATTGCACTGAATTAGCAGATTAGTTGTGACTTGACAATTTATATGAGGTAATGCAGATTTCGTGAATGACGCACAGAAGAATCGCTGGTATCAAAAAGTACCTGAATCATATCTTATCTGCTTCCTTAAAGTATAGAATTGTTTACTACATAATAGTTCGGCCGATTCACTTACCATGTAACATATTCCGGCAGATTCGGTGTTACTTTTGCACAAATCGTGCGTTACATGCCTGTTTAACTGGATTAACACGGTGCTATTTAATGGCTGACATTACTATGATAACAGTATTCTTATTGTACATCACAAATCTTATGTCAGGATATTATAGTTATTGGTCTAGCTCATGTCTTTTTATTTCTTGTAATAAAGCTTTAATCATTTTTAATGAAAGAGCATCGAAACATTAGGAGGGTGTTTTGATGTTATCATCAGCAAAAATAAAAAAAATATTTCCTCTTTAACTAGAATAAATGAACCAATGTACAAGCATTTGAATATGATTTTTCTATTACTCAGCAGCGTGTACATGTAACATGATTGCTACATTTTTCATAAAAATTACGTGTTTAATAAAAACGTAATAGACACGCTCCGGTTCAGTTTGAATTCATCGCGTATTCATTTATAAATCTATAGCGGGAATAAGTAACAAAACTCACCATTATCAAGACTTACCAGCAATAGAAATACTGACAGTCTGCTGTATGGTCTGGCCACCAATTCTACTAGCAGTACATGTGTACTCTCCAGAATCTTCCTTCGTAACAGTTCCAAGACTGAGTGTCTCTCTCTCGCTGTGTTCTCCCCAGGAAATGTTACATGATGGATTACATTCAGATGTACATGTTATATCAGGCATGATATCTCCACTGACCATATAGTAGTGTGTCTTTCTTGGTACCAGCGTCAGAGGATGGCTTGGTCCGTCTGTGTAAATATAAAATACACAAAACAAGTTCAGTCTCAGACTTATTCTATCGGTATTAAATAGCGAAACTCGTAATTGAAAACGTACTAATAAAACATTTTTTCAATACTCAGGAAACAGGCTTTCACTTGGCATGTTTATATATTTCGACCTGAATCATGCACAAATTTACAACACTGTAGGAGTAAATTCTGTTTAGTATAACGTGTTGTTGTTTCAAATGGACTACTTAGAACATGTTGTTATAACACAAGATTTTCTTTCTTATATTTAATGTTATGAAACATTCTTGTTCTTACATCTAACAGTTACTGTGGCATTTACATCGGTGATTCTCCCGTCATCCTGTATAGCGCGGTAAGTTACATTCCTTCCATTGAGGCCTCTTCTAATCCTTGGTATCCAAATAAGACCATCTTGTTGTATAAACCTGGCAGATTGATTGACAGATTTACCATCTAATAACCAGACCAAAGTTGCGTTCGTTAACGGCCGCTTTATCAGTGAAGATTGCGGATGTGCAAACACATAGACCGAGTCATTCTCTTCTCTATTTAAGCTTGGTTTAGCTTTTATTTCTTAAAAGATATTAACATAGACTTACATAATTAAAGTCAAATTACTTAATTATGTTATATAAAATTGTTTTTATATTACTTTGAAACAAACATATTCTTGTATTTTCTTTTTAATATTCATACCTGTTTACAAAAATTAAGAATTCTGTTTTTATTTCTATAAGCAAGTCAAGTTTAATTGACGTGAAACTAGATTTATGCTCCAGATATGAACTACTTAGTGTCTTTAAAAGCATCAAATGAAAGAAATATGTTATGCTAGGAAATGACAACTATGTCCTGTCCTTCTATGTGATTTTAATTGAAATATACGTACTCTTCGTCAAATTCTAATGGAAACTCTGTTTAAAGTCTATTAGGATAGACGTTTTTGTTTTAAATGTTAGAAAAGATCGGCCGAACCAACAACTCTTAAATTGGTTGTTTCACCTATTATATGTTTTATGCTCATTGTTTAAAACCTCTTTCAGATGTACAACATAAATGCAATGACAGAAAAATTAATTGAAAATTTTGAATTTATTTTACATGATAAAAATACTAACGCATTACATAAAGGATAACACAAACGTAAGCACGGCTATACATATAATACGTCCCATTGTCTTCCATACTGACGTTGTCCAAATCTATTCTCAAATAGGGTTGGTTATCAGAGTGAAATGAAATGCTTATATTTGTTTTGTTTTCCCAAGCATCATTAAAAAAGAAACTGTCTGAAAGGCTTAACGTAATATTAGCATTGGCTATACGTAGATAAACAAGATATCCTATAGTAGACCCTGATGTCTTTGCCATACGGAATATGCCGTCTGTTATGTTATACACAAAGCGTGCCTTGGTTCCTTCTGGTGTAAATATTGTTTGATTGACATTACATCCTGCAAAATTTTGACAGAAATAAATAAAAACATAAATTGTTTGTTGCTGAAAAAAATTTAAGATTGATAAGCAAAGATATGTGGATCATACTGAGCATTTGATTAACCATAAGGGCATGTATCTATTACATTTATGCATGTACATAGTTTTTGGGCAATCTTTGGGGATTCCGGTCGTCTCTCTTTTAATATTTCTAAACAATCTCTGATAGCATATGTACATTAAATCTGCTTTTTTAGCAAATAACCTAGTTATAACATTCGAACTTAAAATCATAAAACTACTATTTCTTATACCGGTCTTTATTTGTGTAATACTTTTACTAGGTACATCTCTTTAAACAGAGTATTTTCATGTGTTGAAATCCCCTTCTGCGCAGCTGGAAAAGGGGATAATATGAATGACATCTGTCTATCGGTCAACCTTAACAATAAAACACGAATGGTGGTAACTCACTATAAAATATCAGTTACAGAATATCTAACGCCGGAGGATGTTGAAGACCAACGTACGTACTATAAAATCTGTTAATGACTCAGATTTATGGAAAATCACTAAAACCATCAGCGATATAAGTTGAACATCTTTGACTTGTAAACCTTAATACCTCAATCACAATATCCAATGCAAACCTCCATCATACATTTTTGTGTCGCCTCTACGGAGTAGTGGCGACATATAGGGATCACTTCTCCGTCGTCTGTCTGTCTGTCCGTCCGTCCGTCACAAAACTTTTCCGGACTACTCCTCATAAACTACAGGTGCAATTTCATCCAAACTTTACAGGAATGATCAGTACCAAGTCTAGTTGTGCATATTGTCAGCATTTTCCGGTTCAATGATTTTTGTCAGAGTTATGGCCCTTTAATAATTTTTAATTTTAAAGTTTGTCCGGACTACTTCTCTTATACCACTAATGCAATTTCAATGAAACTTTACAGGATTGATCTGTAGCTCAAGTCCTTGCGCATATTGCAGGGGTTTTCCGGTTGAATGATTTTTGGCCAAGTTATGGCCCTTTGATAAAAAGGTGTTTTTTTCTGTGTGTTGCCAGATAAACAAAAGCTTGTCCGGACTACTCCTCATAAACTACTGGTGCAATTTCATCCAAACTTTACAGGAATGATCAGTATAAAGTCTAGTTGTGCATATTGTCAGCATTTTCCGGTTCAATGATTTTTGTCAGAGTTATGGCCCTTCAATAATTTTTATTTTTAAAGTTTGTCCCGACTACTTCTCTTATACCACTAATGCAATTTCAATGAAACTTTACAGGATTGATCTGTAGCTCAAGTCCTTGAGCATATTGCACGGGTTTTCTGGTTGAATGATTTTTGGTCGAGTTATGGCCCTTTGATAAAAAGGTGTTTTTTTCTGTGTGTTGCCAGATACGCAAAAGCTTGTCCGGACTACTCCTCATAAACTACTGGTGCAATTTTATCCAAACTTTACATGTTGCTTCGTCGGGCCCTTGTAGGTGATTTTCTTGTTGCTCTGTCTTCCTTTAGGACATTGAGTACTTTTGTTATGGTCATTGGGTTTACTTTTATATGTTTCTACGTGATCATTTTAGTGTTTTACTTATTTAACTTTTTGTAACCATGACAACTGTTAGAATTTCACTTGGCGGGGATTCATTTTATTTACACTGTCTCGTTTATAGGAACATGGTGGGGCTAAGAGCGAGGTTTGGTGCACCATTAACCGGTTTAAACTCCCCAGCAGTCATTATTACTTGTTTTACTTTATTGCTTGTGTCCCTTGTTGTTTTCTCGTCTACGGTAAGTATCTTCCCCATTGCCTCTAGTTTTTATTTCTTTGATTACCCCCCCCTTCCCCCGGTCTCCTGTCCCCTTCCCCTTTGTGGGCCTATTATTATTTTCTTTGAATTCCTAATCAGTTACAAATTATTTATTATTTAATGATTAACCTGTCCGTGCTCTGTCTTTGCCCTATCCTGTTTTTGTTTGGGGTCCGCCTGGGCTCCTTGCCATGGTTCTTGTTGCTGGGTCATGTGGGGGTTGCGTTCATTGAACGCCGCCTTTCCTTGTTGATCTTGTTTGTCATGTTTTACAGGAATGATCAGTACCAAGTCTAGTTGTGCACTGTCCGTCTGTCTGTCCGTCTGTCACAAAATTTGTCCCAACATGAAATTGGCCATCATGAGGTGACACATGTGGTTACTGATCGCTCTTGTACTTGAATAGCGCCTCTATTCAAAGAAATCAAAGGTAGAAGATGGGTTTTAATAAAGGAAAATGGGGAAGGGGTGAATAAGGAAACTTAAACAGGTTTTATAAACAGCGATGAAGGCTGAAACGTTATGTTAGGGTCATATGGCATACATGAACAATATAAGATATCTCTGGTTGCACCTTATGTGCACGCTAGTTTGAAGTGGACTTAGTAAGAATGGAACGATATACAGAGCAAAGCAACCAGGCTATAACCATTCTTAGACGATATGCAGAGCGTAACAACCGGTCGACACCCAACGGTTAAGGACACATTTAAAGGTCAAATATGAAAAGTCGTCTACATTTCTTTTATGCTCCATAACTTTTCACTATTGGAAAGAACATGTATTTTCACAATTTTACACAAATGATAATGAGACGTTGTATGACCAATCTGTAATATGTTTGCATCCAATCAATAATTATTAAACTGCTGACTTTTAAACTTTTAAAAATAACTTCGTATAGATAATCACTATTGTAAGGCAATGTTCAGAATGCAACAGTCAGCTCGATATCTTCGAGGTCAAGGTTACATTTCAAGGTCAATTATAAATTCATTTCATTTCGCGTGCGATCAAAAAACTTTAAAACAACTCAAACGTCAATGAAAATAAAATAATAATAATAATCAATTGAGCCTATGTACTGTCACAACAACGTGGTGGTTAGTCCGTACATATATGCCACATTTAAATCAATGTTGCTACTTCCAAAGCCAAAGGTCATGCTTAAAGTTGGTCAAAGTGTGAAAAATCACGTACATTTAAGGTACCTCTTAACGTATTCTAATTATTAGTTGTTGGTCAATCAAATTTTAACACTTATTCAAAATACATGTATATAGTCAATTCAGCTAATATTGACAGTGAAATAATGAGCATGGTGTCACTTTAATGTTAAATGTAACCCTACTTTGACGTTCACCTGTTCACTAACTATATACCCTTGGATGGCTATCATAACTATGCATAAAGTTTCTTTAAAGGATTTTGACCTAACATAGAGCTTTTAACAGTATTTCGCATAATCAGGATGTATGGACTAGTTCTATCTTGGTTGCAAAGGCTTATCATTTTCAATTCAAGCAGGTTGAGATGAAAAAAATAAAGATAAAAAAAAGAAAGTGGAATGCTGGACAACTAAATGATGACTTGTTGACAAAGTTTAATACTTATTTTGATTAAAGTGATATTATGCACATCCAAAGGCTTAAAGTGAGTGAAAGTCAAATTAGGTTAACATTTGCAATACTTCCTTTCAATTTTACAATTTACATTGTATTTCATAAGAACGATAAATAAGTCACGTGTCCCAATGAAATTATATCAGAAACATTTTCCAATAAAACTGTTTGGTCAAAATAACATTAACAAAATAAGCATAATGTTTCTATAAATGTCGAGCCGGGTGATTTCGTTATATTTCGTTACATATGCTCTTTTGTTAACAAATATGAAATGGTAACAACACTTATTGTATCCACTGATCTGGTTAATAGAACTAGACAATTCAGGGATCTATGCATTCATTATTACAAGCAAAACAAAACTGTTGGTTTTTCGTAAGAGAGGGGGCTCATTACATACATATTGTCACGTAATGTTATGGTGTGCTGTTGTTGTTTTTCCGCGCGTTGAATATTAAAGAAAAGGGAGAATAAAACAAAGTTATCGAGTCGAATAGTTAAAATTCTAATAAATGTTAGTACTTTGTATATGTGACTTGTTATGGAAGCATGGAAACGCAGAATAGAGATAAACAGAAGTAGTGGAAATAATAGTGATAACAGATCGAAATGTAATAGAGTAGGGGGGTCCTTCAGGGAGCCAAAAACAGATCAGTGTAAGTGAACTTTTACAGGAGGCAAACCATGTTTTGTGAAACGTTTACAATATTGATAATTTTAGAGTATTTATAAACAGTTCACAAATTCAACTGAATCATATGGCTACCAGTCCTAAACAATCGAACTCTAATGAGCAATCGCCAAGTATTGCAATTTCTGGAATAAAATGAAGGTCAGCTGACTAAAGTTAATGTAAAATTAAAAACTTAATATAAATTGGAACAAAAAGTTGAAATAATGGACAAAGTAATGAATAAGATATGGGTTAAAGCACTGAAATGAACGAAAAGATAGTGCTTGATGTTAAAGTTTAAAAACCTAGAATTTGTAGACATTTCGAAAAAGCGATAAAATCAATGCTCTGACTGACGAGAATGCAAAAAATAAGGAATCGCTGATATACATAAAGTCACAGTCGATGAGAAATAACCGTATCTTTATAAAAATAACCGAACATTCCAATGAGAGGCCGATAGGAACGGAGAGCATACTTAGGAGATAGGAGCTGAAATTAAGTTTCGATAAAATAAAAACTATAGACATCGATAGAACCCACATACTTGGCCCACTGAAACAAGGACATTTCATAACTAGAAGTATTGTTTGTAAATTAACATTAAGCAAACCAAAAATATCAAAGGCTCTAAATACTGCATAAATGAACTATTTCCGCCAGAAATAATTGAGAAAAAGTAGCTAATACCATCAATAAAAGCAACCCAAAAGGGAAGCAAGAATGCCTGGATATCATACGACAAATTACAATGAGGGAATGCCAGTGAGGAAAAGCTAGGAAAGTGCGGAGGATGTAATGAATTGACTAGTGAAAAGTTGTGCGATGACTCATTTTTCAACAAATTATTTGCTAATGATAGAATATTTATGATTGAATATTGGACCAGGATAAAT